CTGGGCTTATGGGTATAGCAGCATAAAGGTCAGGAGGAAACCTTGTTGCTGTGTCCTTAGTTATAGATTTTGTAATCCTTAGACAATCCTTGCTGCATTTCTGCACAGTTCCCTTGCTGTTTCTTTAGGAGACCCAGAAATGCTTGATTTGACTATGCTAGCATGATAATGACACATTTTTAAAGATTAGATTTTGTAATTTTTAACTTAAAATTGCTTAGATATACTGTCTTCATGGCTTGTTGACTATTGATTTACAACATTAAAAGGTGAAAGCAAATATCCACAAGAATGACTGTTGATTCTGAAACATGCCCCAGTTTTCCCAAAATAAATGTTTGTGGTGCTTATATGTTTGACATTGGAGTGTGTTTCTGACATAATAAAACAGTAATACTAGCACAAAGAAAACAATATTTTGTGGGTTCTTTTACATTTAATTGTAAAAATTTTGGCTAATTATAGTTATTTTGTTTTGCTTTAAAGATAAATAATATGTAAAATCATATATTTTTTTAAAATTTCAGATAGAAAATGCTGCTGAAGAACCTAGAGTCTTATGTATAATACAAGATACTACTAATTCAAAGACAGTGAATGAACGGATCACTTTAAATTTACCAGCATCTACTCCAGTCAGAAAGCTGTTTGAAGATGTGGCCAACAAAGTAGGCTACATAAATGGAACCTTTGATTTGGTGTGGGGAAATGGAATCAATACTGCTGATATGGTAAAACCCTAGACTTGAAGCATCTTCTTTTAAGCTGCTAATAGTTGTCGTCGTTGTCGTTGTTGTTGTTCTACCAATGATTATATTAAATCCTGGAACTCTTTTTAGTATCATAAGCAAAAGTATAACAACTACAGTAAGATGGTATGTGCAACTCAATAATTGGATCCCTCTTCTTCCCTTCGTCTCCATTCTGGATTCAACATATACTTGTCCTAAAGTTTGAGTAATGTCATTTCATTAGTTTTTTCACTCATGAAAGGTGACTATAATAAATATTCTGTCAACTAAAGAAAATTTTCAATATTTATTGAATGGAATGATGTCCATCTTATATTTTTCAATGAAAAAGGATATAAAATCATATGCATTTTATGATTTGATTTTTGGAAAAGAAGAAAAAAATCTGTATAGAAAGGAAGGAGCAGAAGGATATACATCCCAATGTTAACAGAGATTATCTCTAGGTGACTTTTATTTGTGTGTCTGTGTGTCTTTTTGGGTAACTTTTTTCTTTTTATATGTTTATTTTTCTATGTATGAACATGTATGGCTTTTGATTTTAACTCAAGCTCAAAAACATTTTTTAATGTCTGTAGTCTTCTCAGATCTCTTTGAGGGTTTATTTTCTTAATTCATTCTTCTGTTAACTGTTTCCTTAATTATTTATCCTTCTTTATTTATTGTCTTAGTTTATCTTTTTCATGGTGTAGCATTTCTTTAAATATTTAGTGATTATTATCTTCTACTCATCTTTACATTTCAGAATCTCTGTTATAGTATCTCTGTGAATGCTTATTAAACTTACTGTTTTAATTTCTGGTTGTTGTGGGAAAGGGGTGGGACATGCTGCTGGGTGTGGTGTGTTTATAATTTATCTTGGTATTGGCTAATTTCTGACTCTTTCAGGTTGGGGGGTGATCAGTACCTAGCTGGACAGCACTGCTCTGCCTCTCTGACCACAGTACCCATGCTTTGACCTGGCAGGAAACAGAAACTGCTGTCTGCTTAGCGCAAGGAGGAAAAGAGAGGAGAGATCAAACTGATCAGAATGCCTTTTCTTTCTTGCTCACTCTAATGGTTCCCTAGCCTCTATCTCTTGACCTTAGTCTGGAGTTCCCTACCACCTTTATGTGTACAATAGTCTTCTCCTATAGCTGCTTTGGGCTGTGGTTTCCTCTAGTTTTATTTTTCCGTAGATCTGATGCTGTCTGCTTTCTATCTTATAATTTCTCAGAATTTCTGGTTTGCTAAGGGCACTCTTTGTTTTCTGGCACTGTTATAAGATTTTTCTTAAAAAAAACTATTTTTTGACATTTCTTGGAGTTTGGGAGAGGATTATTGCTAGACATGTCCTTATTTGGCCTAAACCTGTATTAATCTTTACTGTGAAAATAAATAATTGCAATTATTAAATAAATTTCTAGTACCCTTGATAGACATCTTCCCTTTGGCCTCTTTTATAAAGGAACTAATCCCATTCATGAGGGCTCTGCCTCAAGACCTAATCACCTCCTATGGCCGCACCTCATTATTATCATGTTGAAGATTAGGTTTCAACATATGCATTTTGAGGGTTCACAAACATTCAGACCATAGTAGAAGCATTCTTTTGCATGGGAGAGTGGTGAAAGAAACTATTGAGTTGGATCTTATCTGCACTATTAGAATAGTATTCTAAATAGTCTTTTGTGTTTGCCATCTCTCAATCTTCACCCTGTATACTACTGTTAGAATGATCTTCAGTCATCTTTAGTCAAGCACTCATGCTACCTTCTAGTTCAGAAACCTTCAATCCCTCTCACCGCCCACTGATTAAAAATCAGTTTTCTTTAGGTTAGCATTCAAGACAAGCTACAATTGGTCCTTTAAGCCTTTGTGCTCTTAACTCCCAGATATTGTATTATTTTCTTAATACAAATTTCCATGTTTTTCCATCTCCATGTTTTTGTTTATATTACCTCTTTCTGTCCTATGCTGTTGCTGCTCTTAAGTTTTCCGGGAAAATACCTCTAGTGGCAAATGAAATTGAATGTGTATGCCTATGGTACTCGAAGGGTGTATTTTTTAATTGGTGCCGCAGAAGAATCAAAGATGTTTGATGTTGCTTGATTTGCCTTTAAAACCATGATATTTTTACTTTCTATTCCATAATATATTTGTGGTTTTTTAAAAAAATACAGAACTAATGTTTTCAATTAGTTAAATTTTTCCCTCTGAAATTAACCAGTAAAATTGGTAATCCAACAAGGCATAGAAAGATAAACAATGTTTAATCTGAAACTTTGAGTGCTTTCTGGCACATTGCCATGTAATTTCTAATGTTATCTCTTTTTCAGTTTCAAGGATAGTTCTATATACTGTGCTGTGTGGCTTCCCAAGTCCTATTTATCTTTTACCTAAGAAGCCTTACACGATGTTTCCTTATGGCACTTTAATTTCTTTCTCTTTGACCTCCTGTGCCCTTTTGTTCTGCCATACCACTTATTGCAGTGTCTTTATGTTATTATTCTTTTGTGTCTTTCCATTTGGTTGACTATAAGTGTTGTGATGGCAGGAACCTCATAGTGTTAATTTTATATCCTCCATAGACATTCATCCTATGCACCCAAAAAAACGTTTGTTAAATGATCTTCCACAATAGCTTCAAATAGCTCTATGTCAGGATCACTTATTTCTCTCTTCAGCTGTGACTGTTCTCAAGTACTCCATTTATGTATTTTTATTTGCCTACTATACATTTCTACAAGTATGCCTGCTTTGACCTGCCCATTGCACAATGCTACCTGGATGTTCTTCTGAAAACCAAGCCCATGTAGTTACTTACCACCTTGTACATACACAGACATTTACTGAGGTGAAACCCCTAACTATTCCAGCTATATCTTCTAATCTTTCATGTCCCACTGGTAAATTTTAGGGACCCAGCAATACCTTCCCTCCTTCCACATAGCTTTGCTTAGCTTTAGGTTTTCTATGTCCCGTTTTTCTCGTAGATTTCTAAATGTGAGCCAAAGTTAAGAGATCATATAAATTTGCTATTTTATTTACTTAACTCTTTCTTTTGCATTTACTATTAATATGTTCCTACTATTGTTCTAAATTCTATACAGATATAATCCTATTTAATTATTATAACTACCCTATGAAATAGAGGTGAGGAAACTTAGTCATAGAGTAGTGAAGTAACTTGCCCAAAGTCACACACATAATAAGTAGCAGAATCTTGTTCAGTTAATTTTTTTTGTGCTTAATACCTATACTTTTATACAATGTTAATTTCTGAAGAAATAAAGGCATTTCCATAAAATGAATCTTTTTAAGGAGATAACACCCATGTCTGTGAAACATTAAAAACATTTCTCAATGTAACAAGATGGTTTTAAAACAGAAGAATATGATGTTCACTCCTACTCCCTCATTTTTCTCAACAGTGGTCTGGAGTGTGAGTGAGTAGGGCTTGGACATACAGAGTTCCATTTCGCATCCACCAACTAGAATGTGTCAGAGTGGTGGCTAGGGTTAAAATTGTCCTACCATAGAAAAGAGTTGGGTGAAGACTGTTGAATCCTAGATGTTTAATTTTCAAAGGAATGATCACTTCAGTTCCCCCTGGGATCCTCTGGATCCTGCAGTAGATGTGAAATGGGTATCATTTACTGGGACAGGCTTTTCCTTAAGGGATCTTTTTTTTTTTTTTTCTTTTTCTTAAGGGGTCTTTTTGAAGGCTCTATTACATTAGTTACATTTTTGTTCCATTGTATAATTATACTACATAATTATTTTGGTTGGATTGCTTAGTCTGTTGCTTATCTGGGAATTCTTATTATATTCATACATCAAAACATGATTTTACAGTTTTTAGTTATATAAAATTATCTTTAGTTAATATTCTTGAAAATCCATTAAATGTTATACTGTATACATTTTAGAGAACATGGAAATAGCAGTGTTTATAGATTCTTTTTTTGTTTGTAGTACTTAACATTACTTAACCTTTACCTTTTCTCTATCCAGTTTTTTAAATGTTGGGGAATGTGAGCTTCTGGGATACCTGTCAGTGTTGCACTGTCACTCACTGGGCTTAGCTATCCCAGTTCATGAGTAGATGAGTTAATTCCAAGCTTAGATGAGTAGACTTTTACCAGATCATTATTGAAAAAATACTGTTTAAATGTAGATATGTATCCATTTACATATTGTTTATTTGATTTTATTATTATAATTAAAGTTTTTCATAAGCTGAGATATTATGTTTTATGTCCATAGGCTCCACTCGATCATACCAGTGACAAGTCTCTTCTTGATGCTCATTTTGAGCCAGGAAAGAAGAACTTTCTGCATTTAACAGATAAAGATGGTGAACAACCTCAAATACTACTGGTAAGCTGTTTAGAAGGCCCTTTATTCATAATTTTTGTGCAGTGTCACCTACTACTTGGGAATTCAATTTTCCAAAGGCAAGAGGAGAAATATGTTTTGTAATTTGCACAATAAATTATTATTTTTCCATTTTATGTTGTTTTGTCATAAGTGTATATAATAACATGGTTACAGCAGACATCCATAGCACCATTATTTGTGCATATAGTCTATTGCCACATTGGGTTTGACATGGGCTTCCATCTTCAAGACTACTGCCACACTAAGCGTGGGGCTTGGTCTAGGTATAAGTTAGAACCCCACAAAGGTCTTTCCCACGTTTCAAAGGCCTTTTCTTCCTGCACTTGCTTTTGAGAACCCTTCTCTTCAATGAAACTTCACTCAGGAAAAATTATTCTATTTGATGCTTTTCATTTAGAAATCTATTGTGAATAAAAATACCTCTCTGGACAGTGTAGACAGTAATTAAACACAGTGCATCCATACTGATGCAATACCAGAATATGTTCTCTGACCTTCCTTAATCTCATCATTTATTATTATAACATTGTAAGAGGGTTTGGATAAGTCTGCATGACATTGAAATCTAGAATAGCTATTCATTTAGGAACTCTGGATTCACAGTGTAGGGATTCATGTTTTAAAATGCATAGTAATTATTCTTCAGCTACGTCCTAATTGCTTATTCTTGCCCTTTAATCCTTTCAACATCTTCCTCATTAATAGCAAGTTTCTTGTTGGAGACAGTAGGAAACTATCCATTTCATCCAACAATTACTGAATATCCCCTACCTGCCTGAATGATAGATTCTGTCATCAGGGAGTACAATGGTATTTTTGATTTATAAGCACCAAAAGTCTTTTCTTGTGTAAAGAAAATTTAGAAAGTAAACACTGTGGAAGGGGATATGAGCACTTCTCCAAAGTGTTTTATATCAGACATTATTCAAACCTTCCGTAGGAAATGGTGAGAGTATACATCCCTTTGAATGCCTTGGTGGTAACAGTGATAGTAATGCCACATCTTTTTTTTTCATTGCCTCAGCAATTAGTATGTCTTTAATCATTGTTTCAGCAACATTTGTTATTAAATATTGATTATGCTGCATTTTAGGAGGATTCCAGTGCTGTGGATGACAGTGTTCATGACAGGTTTATAGGTCCACTTCCAAGAGAAGGTTCTGTGGGCTCTACCAGTGATTATGTCAGCCAAAGCTACTCCTATTCATCTATTTTGAATAAATCAGAAACTGGTAAGATTTATTGTTACTGTATTTTCATAAAATCATAGGGCATTAGACCCAGAGTAATCTTAGTGATTTCAAGCCTAATCCTCTTATTTTATGGATAAGAAAACTGAGACCCAGAGCAAGATCACTAGCTAGCAGCAGCAACAAAGTTAGAATAAGAATGTGGTTTACCTTTCCCTCAACCCATTATTGTTTTTACTATATTATTACTGCTCCTATTTAATAATAACGTAAAAAACTTTAATATTGTATTTTGAAGGAAGAATTTTCTTTTTAAGAATTTTCCATTTTGACTATAATCTTACATTTTTGAAGTTGACTTCCTCTGGAAAGGAAAGTCTCTATTATTTCCTTTTTAGATTAGAACAGACTATGAGGAATATGCTTCCATTTTGAAGTAGATATGCCATGCTTATTTTATTGGGCTTGTGTTTTAGTTTAATCATGTGTTTGAAATGAACCATATTATTTTAAAATTTCTGTTAAAACT